TTTTGCTCAAAGAAATCCACGAGTAACATTTTAAGCAAGTCTTTTCATAGAATCATAGAATAATAGGACTGGAAGGGACCTCGAGAGGTCATCGAGTCCAGCCCCCCGCCCTCAAGGCAGGATCAAGCTCCGTCTACACCATCCCTGACAGATGTCTATCTAACCTGTTCTTAAATATCTCCAGAGAGGGAGATTCCACCACCTCCCTTGGCAATTTATTCCAATATTTGACTACCCTGACAGTTAGGAATTTTTTCCTAATGTCCAATCTAAACCTCCCTTGCTGCACTTTAAGCCCATTACTCCTTGTCCTGTCCTCAGAAACCAAGAGGAACAAATTTTCTCCTTCTTCCTTGTGACACCCTTTTAGATATTTGAAAACCGCTATCATGTCCCCCCTTAATCCTCTTTTTTCCAAATTAAACAAGCCCAGTTCATGAAGCCTGGCTTCATAGGTCATGTTCTCTAAACCTTTAATTATTCTTGTTGCTCTTCTCTGTACCCTTTCCAATTTCTCCACATCTTTCTTGAAATGTGGCGCCCAGAACTGGACACAGTACTCCAGCTGAGGCCTAACTAGTGCAGAGTAGAGCGGCAGAATGACTTCACGAGTTTTGCTTACAACACACCTGTTGATACCACCTAGAATCATATTTGCTTTTTTTGCAACAGCATCACACTGTTGACTCATATTCAACTTGTGGTCCACTATGACATTCCACAAAGTGAAAGTAATGGTTTCGCGAGAACCCACCAGTTAGGAGCTGCCATTTTTTTTTTTTTTTTTTGGTTAACCAGATTTCCCCGTTTGTGTTTTTTTTAAAAGGGTTCCGTGGCCAAATAAAATTGGGAAACACTGCTCTAAGGCACCTGTAACTGCTCACTGTTATGCAGGTACTGCAGAACACTTAAAAAAGGCTACATCTAGACTGCAGACTTCTTTTGGAAGAAGCTTTTCAGGAAGAGATCTTCCGAAAGCGCGCATCCACACTGCCAGAGCGCATTGAAAAAGTGATCTGCTTTATCAAAGATAGCATCCATATTGACTGGATGCTATCTCGCATTTAAGCTGTGATTACTATGGATGGAGTGGCCACCAGGACATCTGTGCTTTTTCCTCTTCTTTCGAAAGAACTCCCTCTTCCTGTCCACACACGCCTTTTTTCAAAAGAGCTCTTTCGGAAAAAGGCTTCTTCCTTGGAGAAAGAGGTTTACCAATGTCAGAATAACACCCTCTGTTCTTTCGATTTTTTTTCTGAAAGAACGTGACTGCAGTGTGGACGTGACTTTTTTTTTTTTGAAAAATGGCTCTTTTTCTGAAAAAACTCTGTAGTGTAAACATAGCCAAAGTGCCCTCAAAGGCAAATAAATTTTCACTTGTCAGTGTACAGGAATTGTTTTCTACCTTTTTTCCTTTCCTTCTATAGCCCCTCTTTCACTTTTCCCAACTGTAGGTTGGTCCTAGGAAGATGCCATTTCTTGGGGCTTCATAGCTGCTTTTCCAGAAGCCCAGCTAAGGCTGGTGCCTGCTCTGAAGGGCAGTTAGGAAAACAAGTCCCCACACTTGTGAAGGGCAGCAGAAGACACAGGGGAGCAGATGGCGGGAGGGGAGGGGGGAGGACATGGCAGAAAAGAGGAAAAGAGAGAGGTTTATAAGATATTAATAACTGGGGTGCCACAGTGGCACACATCAGAACAAACGCACATGGACTCAACATTGGTGCACGAAACAAAACTCACTCCACTCATGGGTGGAAAAACTTAGAGGGAACACTGATCATGACCCCCTTTACATTTACTGTAGAAGCGAAAAAAAATTAAGTATCATTGATATGCCTTAATAATTTGTATGTTTAAAGATGATCTAGAATACTTTATCTTGAAAGGTGTGTGAGAGAGCGAGCAAGTGAATAAGATTTTTGATGTGACAAAATGTTCAATGCCTCATAACCCTTCTGATTGTTTTGTGGGAAATAGAGGTGTTGCTATACTGGTTGCTTGACATAGTTACGAAATCCTGACTTTACCACCTGAAACAGCTCAGTGTACCCTCTAATAAATGTGGTAGATATATTTGCAAAAATCCTGCTTTATTTGAAAGTAGATTTTTCATTTATATGCTCAGCCATTTTCTGGATGGTTTAGTAGCTGTGCTTAGTGCTCCCAAGACATCCATAGGGTTAGGGAAACAAACTCTCCATTTGTTCTTCAAATGGACAACCCACCCTCCTAATGGAACAATCCAGAATAACATTCCCAAGTTTCCAGCTGTTATGTGCTCTCTTCCTCCAGAGAGGAGAGTCTCGTTCAGTGCATTTAACTTTTCAAAAAAGTCAGGGTTTTTTTCCCCCTCTATTACAGGAACAAGTTATAACATTCAGACTCAGCCTGCCCTGAATGTCAGAGAAAACTGTGCTGATTGCAAAGATCCAGTTACAACAATTATTGCCCAAACACAATTTGCAGCTCCAGAAATGCTGTGAAATGGGAAAAACACAGAGACAACGTTGATAAAGATGATAGAAGCTGACATTTCCTTGCTGAGCAAAGTCCTGATAAAATAAGAGGATTTGTGTGCAGTGATAGTATTAGAAACTTGCTTCAAAATGGAACATTGTGTCATTTTGGTCAGGGTTCCAGTGCTCAATCCTACACAATTAATTACAGAGTCAGGATATAGCCTTCATACAGTTCAGTCTGCAAAAGATTCAGTTACAATGGAATCTTGATTCTGATATGCACCTTTCATCACAACTAAGTGGTACACTGGTACTGCTGAGACATCTAAGCTATGAGCATTGGGGAAGATATTGAGGATTAATTTTTACATTTTATATAGTCTTATTTTGACTATCCAGAGACTGTGGAAACTTCTGAATGCCCCTAAGCAGTATTTCAGGTGGTTATTTTGTTTTTATCAAGCTTGCCTGCTTTCAGTTGTTGGGATTACTTGCAGCTCTGCTTCAAAGTTCAGATGAAACGTCTACCTTAACAAGTATTTTCTGAAGACATACTGAAGGCAGCTTCTTACCTATTTGACCACCACTAATGTCAAAGAATTCTATATTCGGTTAGAACTGTGGTCCCCAACACGGTGCCCGTGGGCGCCATGGCGCCCGCGGGGGCATTTGTGTGTGCCCGCCAAGTGCTTGGGCCTGGCCTGGCCCCGGGCACATGCGCGGTGCCGGCCCCGGGCACATGGCACACAGTGAATGCCGGCCCCAGGAGCGCCGCAGGCACACTAGCTGCACCCCCCCCAGCAGACCAGGGACACAGGGAGCAAAGCGGCAGCGGGGGGGGCCTCGCCTCTGAGGCTTTGCTCTGGCGCCGGACCGCTTTGCTCCCGGTGCCCCTGGTCTGCTGGAGACGGTTCCCAGCAGACCAGGGGCACCGGGAGCAGCTTTTCTCGCCCCAGAGGTCGAGGTGGCGGACCACTGCCTGCGAGCTCCGGGGCGAGAAAGCCCTGTTCGTAAGTCGGATCCGCGTAAGTCGGGGACTGCCTGTACACTGAAATGTCCTGAGATACATGGTGCCTCATGAGAAATATAACAATGAATATAGCACTAACCATAAAAGAAACAGACATTCATGCTAAAAGTAATTTACAATCAATATTTATTAAGACTATTACAACAAAAAGTACTAAAAGAAAAGTTTGAATAACAATAATACTTTAATTCTTTGACGGATTCTATTTGAGATTTTGTCTCCATTTTAAAATGGATTTTGTTTTGTATTTCTCTACTTTATTGCCACAGTAAAATAAATTTTAAAAAATCTCCTGGAATGCATATAAAAATTAAAAGATTTTGCCTTTTTAATAAGTCATCCCAGATGTTAAATGAATGGATAACCCTTCGGATTGTAAAATGAATCTTATGTAAGTTTGGAATTTAAATTTTGTGAAATCCAAAGGTTAAAAAATGTAAAAGCTTTTGCAATAATACACAGACATTAAAAGCTTTGTTTTCTTTATAGTATCACATCAAAATCACACAGAAGACCCCAATGATCGCTGGTAAATTTGCCACACTCTAATTTTTCAAGTCCAATTAAGTCCAGACTCCGTGGAATAATCTGTCCACCTTCTGCTGCAGTTCGGAAGAATATGCGATCAAATCGGAACTTACATTTGTACCTTCCATCCAGGTTACTATTGCAGTTTGTGTCCCATGTATAATGGCAGTGCTCTGGTTTGCCCAAAAATTCCCATATATCCAAAATATTATTAGGTAAGCCACCTACTTCAGTAACCTGAAGAGAGAAAAACGGAACAAAAAGCATTATATTAACTAATTCCTTTAATGTAATATATATATGACAATCATTTGTTGAACCTAGAACTTAGATATTACACCATATTGATTTTCTTCACAGCAACAGCCACAACAGGAAATAAACATTAAAACACTTAACATGATAGTTTCTCAAGAGTTTCAGAAAGATAAGCCACTTAAGACACTGACTGTTCATGTTGCACTCTCCAAACAAAAAGTATGTATAAGAAACCACTGCATTTTTAAGTGACTGAACCGGACATTATAGGACTGGGACTTTAATAATTTGTAATATCCCCCGTTGGAACACTGGTAACCAAATTTTCAGAAGTGACTTTGTTTTCAGTCCCTTCATTTTGGGTGCCCAAATTTAAAAATGTGAGCTCTCGCTCTACAGAAGTACACTGAGCACCAACAGTTCTCGCTAATTTCAATGTGAAACGCTGATGTTCAGCATCTCTGAAAATTGAGCACTAGGTTTCCAAAGCTGGGCAACTAATAATGTGTTACCCAGAATTAGGATAGTTCTGAATGTTGCAGTTTGAACAGACTATTTCTTTACACAAAGCCCACAGGAGAGGAAAAACCACCATCTTTTGATTTTGAAGTCACTTTATCCGTAACACTGCTCCAAAATAGAAATGCACAATCAAGTATAAACTTCAACATGGCGGCAACCTCACTTCTCCTTGATTCAACTCTTTCATTTAACAGATGGGAACACTATGGGTATGGCTACACAATAACTAGACTAGCCCATGCCACTTACTTGTCCCGGTTTCATTACTCTGTAGAGGTCTGTGCTCCAGGAACCTATGAGGGAAGGTTCCAGCCTGAGCCCAGAAGTCTATACAGCAATGAAATTGCCCCACAAACTGACCCGTCAGCTAGCATGGGCCAGCTGTGGGTTTGTCTTTGATGTGTAGACATATGCTAAAAGGCATGTCTGTGCACATGAGGGTAGAAAACTCAACATCTGTCATGCATAACTGATTCACGGGAAAAATCACTGTATACTATAAAAAGAAAAAAGGAAAAACCCCAGCAGAGATCACATAAGTACATAAGAATGGCCGTACTGGGTCAAACCAAAGGTCCATCTAGCCCAGTAGCCTGTCTGCCAACAGTGGCCAGCACCAGGTGCCCCAGAGAGGGTGGACCGAAGACAATGATCAAGCAATTTGTCTCCTGCCATCCTTCTCCAGCCTCTGACAAACAGAGGCTAGGGACACCATTTCGATCCCCTGGCTAATAGCCTTTTATGGACCTAACCTCCATGAAATTATCTAGCTTCTCTTTAAACTCTGTTATAGTCCTAGCCTTTACAGCCTCCTCTGGCAAGGAGTTCCACAGGTTGACTACACGCTGTGTGAAGAAGAACTTTCCTTTATTAGTTTTAAACCTGCTACCCATTAACTTAGAATCATAGAACTGGAAGAAACCTCAGAAGGTCATCAAGTCCAGCCCCCTGCTCTAGGCAGGACCAATTCCAACTAAATCAACCCGGCCAGGGCTTTGTCAAGCCGAGACTTAAACACCTCTAGGGATGGAGACTCCGCTACTTCTCTAGGTAACCCATTCCAGTGCTTCACCACCCTCCTAGTGAAATAAGTTTTTCCTAATATCCAACCTGGACCTCTCCCACCACAACTTGAGACCGTTGCTCCTTGTTCTGACATCTGTCACTACTGAGAACAGCCTCTCTCCATCCTCTTTGGAACCTCCCTTCAGGAAGTTGAAGGCTGTTATCAAATCCCCCCTCACTCTTTGCTTCTGCAGACTAAATAGACCCAACGCCCTGAGCCTTTCCTCATAAGTCATATGCTCCAGCCCCCTAATCATTCTGGTCACCCTCCGCTGGACCCTTTCCAATGCGTCCACATCCTTTTTGTAGTGGGGGGCCCAGAACTGGACACAATACTCCAGATGCGGCCTCACCAAAGCCGAATAAAGGGGAATGATGACATCTCTGGATCTGCTGGCAATGCTCCTCTTAATGCAACCTAATATGCCATTAGCCTTCTATGCCATTAACTTCATTCAGTATCCTCTAGTTCTTCTATTATGGGAACTAATAAATAACCATGGTGATTTGTTCTCAGAGTAATTCTAAGTGATTTACTGATGTTCACCTCATGGTCTCTTAGGTTTGTATCCCCTCCAAATATAACAGTAGTTGACTCTGATGCCTCCTGCATTGTCTTGAACACCTGTCTCAGTTGGTTTAGGCGTTCCTTGGCATGACTTTTTGTGCTCTCTAGATGGGAAGTCATAAGGCAGAGTTCATTTCCAGATATATTAACCTGTTTGACACACAGATAAACATTAAATCATACACCATGAAATAGAGTTGAAGGCCAAACACAAAATATACCATTCAAATGCTGAGCAGGTATGTTCTGCTTGTTAAAACTGCTATTACATACAACAGGAATGATTTACAACTTGATATTGGGCATCTATTTCTGCAGTCAAAGTGAGGCTTTTGACAGTGAATGTGCTGCTAGCAGCAGGTTTAAGTGTGGATTTTTAACTAAGAATTCAAATCCAGTTCAGTCCACAGCTTGTGTGTGTCAAGAAATACTCCTCATCCTACAAAATTTCAGGCCATTTTTCTGAACAAGAAAAGGACAACATTTTCTAGAGTTCCTTTATGAAGGCAGAATTTTCAACTTTATTTAAGAGACATGCTTACCATTCTACACTTAAGGTGCCTTTTAGTTAAAAGCTAACCGCTACTCCAATCAAATGAAACAAGTCTGCTCAAAATTTACTGTGCATTATCTTGTACTATGGTAGAATATATTTCTGAAAACCATAAGGTGTACATACAACCTTATATTTCAAAGATAAACATGCACCAATAATGGAAGGGGAAAAATTAACAGGATGTTGTATTTAAAAGAAACAACTAACAACTACTTACCAGGAAATTTAGGTTATAGTTTACAATATGTGGGTTTTTTAAAATATATAAATGCAGTAATAAGGAACCCCAAATAACTTTGCCTTTCTTATCCTACTATCCTATTTCTCTGTGTAAAAAAACTTCATGTCTGACAAGTACGATAGCTACACCCTATACTCTGACAATCTGGTAAAAACTACTGCAGCAGAACTTTGCTATACACTAAAAGAAACAGACTGAACCATGGACACTGAAGTTATGGCTTATCTCAGCTATTTATAGTTAGGGATGTTAGTGTACAGTCAAGACAACAATTAACTAATAACACTAGGCTTATTGGTTAATCCTATGCACTATACACACCCCTTGCTGCCTCTGTATCAGAAGCAGCAGGGGGAGGAGGCTGGAGACTATGCCCGTGGGCAGCTCCTCACAAGCACTCGATCCTGTGGAGCCACAGGCTCCTCTCCCTTGGCACTGCTGCCTCTGATAGAGGGGCAGCCGTGCAGACGGTGAAGGTGGCAGGCAAGAGCCGATAGATACAGTTCTTTTAAGCCAGTTCTCTGCACGTGCCAGCTCCATGTAGTCACCTTCCGCCCCACCCAGACAACAAAAAGGTGGGGGAGGGCAGGAGTCAGAGCAGCCCTCCGTGGATAGGGATTGCTGCCGCAGAGCAGCCTTTGTCTGCAGCGGTTCTGGGTCGCCTGCAGACAGAGGCTGCTGCCACCCCATGCTGATGCCTCTGACAGGGCAAGACAACAAGCAGGAGCTAGTCTGTGCAGGAACAGTTTTTAAATACAGAGGCAGCAGTGCGGGGTAGCAGGGGACTCCCCAAAGTGGGGTTGGGAGATCACTGGCTGCCAGCCCTGCCTCCAGGTATTACAGAATAATCGTGTAATAGCTAAGATTGTGTATAGTTACATGATTATTGAATTAATCAATATTTAACATCCCTATTTATAATCCATCAACAATCCGTCCCCCTTCGCTGCCTTTCCCCTTGCCCTTCCTTTCCCTCCTATGACTGAAGGCTTATTAACAGGCCACTTCACCAAGAATGGTCCTTTGAAATATGCATCAAGTACTTACACCAAGCAATCTGTTCCACTTTGTATTTAGGTAAGACACTCTGGGGATGTCTGTATAGCAAACCATGGCTTGCCTTTGCCAGCTGACTTGCACTCAACTGAGATACACACATTCAGGCTTGAGCTTCAGCTCTGGGATCCTCTCATAACACAGAATCCTAGAGCCCTGGCTCCAGACTGAGCCCACAGCCCAAGCCCTGCAAGTCTGAGTCAGCTGGCATGGGATAACCATGGGGCTTTAATTTCAATGCAGACACACCCATTGAGAATATCTGACAGATCTGAAAAAGAGCTCTATGTAAGCTTGTCTCCATGACCAACAAAACTTGGCCTAACAATAAATATTACCACAGCTACCTTGTGTCTCCAATATCCTGGGACACTTTGCAGTTCTACCAGGAGTTGTGGACAACTTAATCTATACCCATTTGGGGCTTACTCAAGAATATACAGACTTGAGTACAGGCAGTCCCCAAGTTACGCGGATCCGACTTATGTCGGATCCGCAGTTACGAACGGGGTTTTTCTCGCCCCGGAGGACGGGAGCGGTGGGACACCCAGATGCGCCGCGGTTCCGCCGCCCGCGTCCTCCGGGGCGAGAAAAGCTGCTCCGCGTCTCCCTGGTCTGCTGGGGGAGGACCCCCAGCAGACCAGGGAGACGCTGAGCAAAGCCGCGGAGCACGCAGGCAGCGGGAGAGCCCAGACGCGCCGCAGCTGTCCCCCTGCCGGCGTCCTCCGAGGCTTTGCTCCCCATCTCCCTGGTCTCCTGGACAGACCAGGGAGATGGGGAGCAAAGACGCGGAGCACACCCGCAGCGGGACAGCCCAAGCGCGAC